AAACACACACACACGCTTTCTCTCTCTTTCAGTCCATTGCTCATCCAGTGTCCACTGAATTACATTCTCTCTCTCCTCTCGGTATCTCCAACTTTTTACTTTTTCTTTTCTTTCTTTTATCTCCAACAAAATTTCAATTTATCCCCTTTAATTTTCTTCTGAAATTTGCAGGGTTTTGGAAACCATGGAATTAGGGTTTTACAGCTCTCAATTGGGTCAAATTAATGGCTCCTCCAACTTGGAATTTGTGATGTTGGAAACCCTTTTGCTCGCTGGAAATTCTCTTACTTGCCTTCTTCTTCTGGTATGATTTCTCTTAATTTTTGCTCTTTTTTCTTGTTAAATTTGGGTATTTTTCTGTCTTAAATCTCTCTATATGTTTAAAATTGGTTGTTTTTATTTAAATATTTAGCTTAATTTTGTTAGGGTTTTTAATTTGGTAATTTAACTAAATGTACATTTCATGTTTTGCTTTAAGAAGAATAATTGCAGTTTGTTCTGGTCAATATGATTTCGATTATGTGACATTTCAGCAAGATTTTGGATGAACTGGTCTGAAATGGAAGCATGTGTTGTGAATTGTGGTCTGTTTAGCTGTATTTGAATAAATTGCTCGTCGAATAAGCAAACTTTCGGGGTTCTTTTTGCATTTCTATTGTTTGTCTCACTATGAGTTGTTTTACTTCTGCAATTTAATGGACAATTGTCTGTAGAAATGACATGCTTCCTTTGTTAGATTTGGTTGCTTTTGAGTATTTCCTTTTATAAGTAGATTACAATCAGGCTTTTGAATTTATGTTTTCGGTTTTTTTGGACAGAGAATTAGATTACAACTAGGCTTTCGAATTAATGTTTTCGGATTTTCGGACAGAGAAGTAGATCAACTAGGCTTTCAAATATATGGACTGAGATGATAGGATATAGATTCTATATTTATTCCAGTTGTTTCTTCTAGGGAAAAAAGGGCTTCTTGTTTGCTATTCCTTGATCTTTAAGCATGAGAAGAACTTCCTGACAAACCTTCGGGGTTGCCTTCTGCCAGGGTTGGAATTTTTTTGACACACACAGTTTCTTTATGGAACTGATTGCTAATCTTTAAACTTTGGGAATCAGATAAGTGACCGAACTTTGTAGGTTTGGCATGGATGGCCTGACTTGAGGATGATTGACCGTTCTAGAGCAAGTCTTGTTTGGGGATTGGAGGGTAAACTTAGTAAGATTATCTGATAAGCGGCTACACATTCTTTCTTCGGTTGGCCATCATGAGGCTAATAGGATGGATACTGTTTTCTCTTGAGAAGTGATGTACTGTAAAGTCGATTTTCAGACTGTATCAAAACTTGTAAGAGCTGCACTATCAAGTGCTCATCTCTGAAATTCGCTGTCTTTTTCTTAGATACTCAAGATGGTAATGACTAATGAGTGTAATGGAGGTCTTTGGGGATAGTTTGTGTATGAGAGAAGCCTTGCATTTTTTTTTTTTTCTTTCATAGTAAAATGGTATCATTATAAATGATCTGTGACACTTGTGTTCTCTCTAATTTCCATACTCCTTGAAAAGTTTGCTGAACAACAATTTTGATGATGCAAGAATTCGATTATACTATGTTAAATTGATGTTACTTGAAATGGTTGCAGACTGGAGCTCTCTTGGGGGGTGTCAGCAAGCTGCCTGGTTTGACTGCTATTGAGGACAGGTATATATTCTTGCTTCATTAACGTGAAGTTGTAATTGGTATGTATAATCCTTAGTGTTTGATTGTTGAACAATGATTGTACAGGTTTCCTATAGAGGAACTCCGTAAAACAGAACGACCTGATCCTGAGAACAAAGATGGTAGTGACACAGAGGATGACGATGAAGAAGATGAAGATGCTGTAGAGGATCAGGATGATGATGACGATGAGGATTTCTCTGGAGGAGAAGCTGGGGGAGACGATGATGATGAGGGTGACCCTGAGGATGATGAGCCAGGAGCTAATGCTAATGGGGAAGGAGGAAGTGATGATGACGACGATGACGATGATGATGGGGATGATGATGATGACGATGCTGAAGATGGTGAGGAGGAAGAGGAAGACGAGGAGGAGGAAGATGACCAGCCCCCTGCAAAGAAGAGGAAGTGAGAATGAGTTTAGGTTCAGTAGAGTTTTAGATTTCAATTGCTTAAGCTTCCAATGCAGGAGTTCATTAGAGGGTGGAGGGCCTTTAGGACTATGTCTAGTTGGATCAGGTTAGTTATTTCGCATGGTGGTTTACACATTGGTTAACATTCGTAGCTCTATTGTGCACTCATTGTTGTGATAAAAGTTTGTAGAATTGTTGATTATTCTAACTATGAATGTTACCTTTATCGAATTATGAAGTACAAGTAGGTCCTTTGCTGGGTAGACAATATTTTTTATTTTTTATATGTTTTTGCTTCACGGGAATTTCTGATCATTCCAAGAACCGTTAAGGTATGTCGTAATACTAAAACCATCTATGTCCAATTGTCAAGTGATATGGCTATATATCAAGGGGAAAGAAGTCTCCTAAAATATTGTTACATCATGCTCTTGCTTCCTGCCACAATTTGGCAATGGAAGTTTTACTGTAGTAGTGTAGATCTCTTGATATTTGGGAAGTTTGAGGTACTATGAATTTGTGATATTTGGTCATGGGATGGACCAACTGCAGCTTGCAGGACATACAGGTCATGTGAATGATGAAAATGTTTGCAGTATCTTTGAGGGAAATAGGTGGAAGTGAATATAGCAAGAGTTCCAATTTTGAAATATAGTGGTACAAATTAGTTGTCAAAAACTGACGGCTCAAAATCGGCCAAAAAATATTGGTTGACTTTTGAAAAAAAAAATGTGATCCAATATTCAATTTTACCCATACTAACGCAACCGAGCAATTGTGTTAATCCCAGTTAGACTCCGACCGTAAATCATTGTATTTTTAGCAATACGCTGAGATTATGAAAAGTCATAACTAGTCAGCATATTAAACCTTCTAATAAAGAAGGAAGTCAAGAGAATGTGCTATCTGATGCCCCGTCCCCAATCATCACTGATCAAGAGGGGCCTCAAAGTGGTGAGGCCAATGTCATCTCCGAGAACCCAGGAATGAGAGAAAATGAGGACCAAGAGAGGAGGTGATGTCCTTGAATGCGAGGGAGGAATTTTAGGTGAAGAAGCTCTAAATAGTGTAGCGAATGCGCATCATTATAATGTATTTCTATGGAGGTCAAGCAATGATTCCTATTCATTGGCTCTTAATCCCAAGCCAAGCAGTCACGAGCAGCAAAGGCAAGGAAGAAAATGGCCCAACTACAATAAGAATGCCTGTTGTGGAAACCATCGGCTATGGGAAGAAGCTCTTCCCAAGCCCATACTTTCCTTGAATTTATGTGCAAGTATCGTTCGAAGACAAAACAAAAGATTCATCCATTTCATTGCCAGAATGTTTCAGTTGTCCAAGGAAGAAAAGGAGTTATGGTTACTATAGTTTTCCTAATGGTTGTAATCCTTACATTTTAATGATGCTAGCTATAATAAGGGTGTGATGGAGTCTATAATGAGCTATTCATTCACATTACTTACTTTTAAAGTCCAACTTGTATTATTACGAGAGGAAGAGAGCAGAAAAGAGAATTCTCTTACATTCACATCATTTTTTTTTTGAGGAAATTTCACATGACTTACTTTTAATGTTCATTTACCTTCCATTTATTAAAATAAAAAAATGTTCATCTTCCATATCTTCTAATTTTGGAGTTATGGAGGATGAACATTATCAAGCCTTTGTAATATCAACTTTATCAAACATCAATCAATAATTCATCTTCCATAACTCCAAAATCCAGTTATTATTACCCCAATCAATAACCCATCTAATTAAAACAGAACAAAAAATAAAACAATCCTAGAACATACTGCTTTAGCCACATTAGAAGTTTATCAAATAGCAAATGTTGATTGAATCGTAGCTTCATCTCCATGTGATGTTGATACCTACTTTACAATCCTAGAATATCTCCATGATGATGTTGATACCTACTTCAAGAGTAATACCGAGGGCATGTCTTGCAGCTAAAGCTTTAGCAATATCAGGCTCATAGCTTCCCCTCACACAGTGGGACATTGTGACCAAAGCATCCCCCACGCTGTCCCTTACAATGCCTCCAAACCCAACAATATCATTCCAAAAGAAAGCAGCATCAGTGTTGCGTTTATACACCCCTGTCATGGGTGGCATCCACTTGTGAGAAACAGGCTGTCCATTCCTTGAAACAAGATCACTTGGAGCATTAGCTTTCTTAAACTCTCCTATAGCACTTACTGCTCTGTTGAATACATCGAAATCACGTTCGGCTCAACTCTACTACTCTGGACCCAAATGGCATCTTGCAACAATCTAACAAGCAGGTGCAACGATGGAGCAATGCCATGACTACAGCAAAAGATTGCTAAACAGGGCAACAGGCTAGATTACAACAATGCTGGGTTTGGAGATCAGGATGTCTGACTTCGCCAATGATTGTGAGAGAAATCACCCTATAGTGGCAGCAGGTTGGCATATCAAGATAGGAGATGTCTACCATAGCTCGGGGGTGAAGAGGGTATTAGCTTCAAGTGTCCTACAAGCAGAATGCAGAGCAGTAGAAATTGGACCACGCGAAGCCTCAGGGAAATACGATCAAGTAATGGTCAAAACGGACAATCAAGATGTAGTGCGATTACTGAAGCAACCCAAGTTAGCACCGGCAAGCATCAGACCAACTATTGAAGAAATCATTTCATTAGCCTCACATTTTAACTTTTGTCTATGTATCAAGGTTGCTAGACAACAAGTGAGGGAGGCCCACTGTCTAGCAACTAAAGCTACTAAGTACTAAAATTTGTTTATCAGTTGCCAAAAAAAAAAATGTAATAAAGAGTATAGCCTCTAGGCTCTAGCAGCCAAGAAGATTAGGTTCATCAAATGTAAAGAACTAGAAGAATCAACCAGATTACCAAGCACTTTACAATTATCATTTGCGAAAACAATGTATTTAACACATCATTAGACCATAGCAAATACAATACATAAGCAGTCCAATTCATGAAATATCTCAATCATATAATCAATGACAAAGTAAAATTACACTTAACAAAAGACCATATTATAAAGCCAAGCATACAAATAGCATTAAACAAAGTATCAGCAGAACAATGGAATCCAACACCACTCACAATGGAAGTTCCCCGGATCGAAAGATGGCGAATTTCGACATCTTAGAGCAAGAATAAGGAATCCCATTATCCTTAAAGAGCTCTTCAATCATCTCCTTAGCTTTATCAGGCTCAGAACTCTCACATTCAATCTCATACAAAGTCCCAAAATCAAAAAGTGTCTCATCCACCTCTAATGTCAACCCTTTCCATTCATAAACCCCTCTTACATTCTTAAACCCTCCTAAACAAACATACCCAGATTCATCCTTAACCCCAAATTCCTCCTTCACCCTCTTCAAAACCCTAGAATCCGACGACCCAATTAGATTCGGGTTAGCCCAAATCTCCCGACCCACACATGGATCAACATCTTCCTCATCTTCCTCAACTCTACTTACCCCATTAACAAGAATCGCTTTTGCTTTAAGGCTCGAAACGCAGCGTTCTGCTGTTTGGGGATCTTCACCATAAAACCTCAATCGAAGAACAGCGCGAAGCGCAGAGAGCTCGGAATTGGCGCCGTCGAAGAAGACGTTGTGCTGAAAGTGGGTTCGCCGGAGAAACGGCGAAAGGACGGAGGAGAGAGATTGGTGTGCGGCGGAATCAGGGAGTCTGAGCTTGACTTCGACCTCCATTTTCAAGGGGAAGAGAGGCCGATTCGTTGGGGTTTGGAGGAAGATCGATCGAAGTGTTGCAGAAGAGTGGTGGTGGTGGTGGTGGTTGTTACTGCGGCGGACGAGGTGGTGTCGGAGGTAGAAGAAGGTGTGGTGTAGCGCGATTGGAGTTGTTGGAGTTCTTCTTTGTCTTCTAATTTTACTTCGATTTTTGTTGGTTTTCTTCTCAGCATTATTCTCTCTCTTTTTCTACTTAAAATGGTTCTGGTTTGATTTTGTGCTAGTAAGCCATAAATTGATAAATCAAAGCTAACCGATAGGCACGCAGGAAGAGGCGTAAATTCGGGTCATCCACTAAGTTCTGTTCGGGTTGGATCAATTAGTTCGATTCTAGTTGGGTTGGGTTTAGTTGGGGTTGAATTATTTTGGAATTTTTTTTTGTGTGTGAACAAATTATTTCGGGTTTGAGTCGTGATAAATAAACAATCATGATTTTTTTTTTTTTTTTAAAGAAGAAAGACTCTACCGGATTAGAATCTCTCGTAACTTCATAATAGTTGTAAGTAAACTAGTCTAGAGTATGTGTTTCAATAAAATAAATTGTGTCAATTAAATAGGACGGAGAGAGTAATTAGAAATAAGATATGCAAAACTTCGGACCTTAGAGTTTGGGTAGAGTTTGCGGCTCTAGCATCTGTTTTAGACTCTAAAAATGGAGAGTAACTTTTATATACATCCGATGTATAGTAATTTACTGTAAATTGGAGGTCACTTTTATCAAATTTAGGGTCACTTTTACTATTTTTTTGGTAACTTTTATGAATAAAGTATAAATACTTGTCAGTGCAACTTTTATTCATATTAGGGTAACTTTTGTTCATTTTAGGGTAACTTTATAACAGATGTACAATATTTTATTATACATCCGATCTATTTAAAAGTTTGTCAAAAATGGCAGTGGGTGGTAACGTGGTAATAGGACGGAGTGAGTATTATATTACCATCAAGACAATGCTTTTTTGGTTGCATTGAGAATTACATTGTAAGTATTCTAACAAGCTCAAATTTTAATTTCAGTAAGAAATATTCTTTGGTTAGATACTCTATAATGTTTAACAAAAAAAGGGAGAAGAAGCGTGATAAATCTGAGAATGAAAAGGAAGAGGGAGAAGAAGCGTGCCACCTGACCGGAAACACCCATTAATTGCTCGATGTTAGGGTTTAGGGAGGGGGGAGGGTTGCAGCGGGGTAAGCGCGCGGAAAAGGTAGCAGGGTCGGCTGGCGGTCAAGGTGGGTCGCCGGGAGTTGGGGGTTCAAGGCGGTGGCTCGGTATGGGGGAGGGGGCTGCTGCCATGGGAAGGGGAAAAGGAGGGAGTGGCTTGGCTAGTGGTGGGGATGGTGGTTTTTGGGTTTTTTTATTTTTATTTATAAGTTAAATTAATTAATAAATGGTTAAGTGAGACTTAGAGGATAATTAGAAGAAATTAGAGCTTAATTAAGTGAATTAGAGGCATTAGGTTGTCTTCAACAAAAAAATTTCACAATTGGGTTTTCTTTTGCTAAAATGTTAAAAATCGAGTTTTCTTCTGCCAAAAAGCTTTTAAAAGGTTTTTTTTTTCGCAAAATGGTTCATTAAAAAGGTGTTTATTTTTACAAATTTGTCTAACAAAAATCACTTGCTACGTGAGAATTTCAATTTTCTTGGAGCATTACAAATCATTCCTTCTAAAATTTGTGAAACGCTAAACATCGCCCGCAATTTACCATATAAAGCCCACAAATATGATTTGGTGTGACCATTATGCCCATTTTCTAAAATTGAAATAATCTCGGTTTAAAAAATGTGGAGCCGTACTGGCTCGCCGGGGGAGACCGGAGGGCAGGCCGGAGATGCGGGGGACGCCGGAGGTACGTCGTCGTCGACGGAAAACGAGGTAAGTCACCGTTAAAATTCACGGTTTACCGTCGGAGTGGCTCCGGCGCCTAGGATGGACGCCCAAACCGTAGCCTGGACGTCCAAGCCAGACGCCAGAACCACCAGAGCGGCGTCCAGCCCAGACGCCCAGACCACCAGACTGGCGTCCTGGCCAGGCGTCACTCTACTGGCTGAGGCGGCCCTGCCAGGCGCCAGTCCAGTGGCTGTGGCAGCCCTGGCAGACGCCACCCTTATAAATTAATTTTTTTTATCTTTTTTGATTTTGTTGTTGTTTTTTTATTTAATTTTTTTTTTAAAAAAAAAATCGAAAATGATTTTTAAAAAAAATTCGAAATGGGTTTTTTTTAAATTAATTTTGAATATTCGAAATAGGTTTTTTTAAAATTAAGTTTGAAAATTCGAAATGGTATATTTTTAAATTTAGTTTGAAAATTCGAATTGGGTTTTTATAAAAATTAAGTTTGATTATATATAATTATGCTTTTTTTTGTGTTAATTCTGTGTAAATATAGAAATTAAATGTATTATCCGTTAAATGTATTTATTGTAATATATAATTGATGCAGGAATATGGTGGAGACGGAAATGATTACAGTGGGATATTTGAACATGATGGTCCATTCGAAGAAGCTCAACAGGCGATTGATTGGGCAAAACAGGTTGCAATTGCAGCTGGATTTTGCTTGGTAGTAGTAACTCATAAATCTCAACGGGATGGTAGAATGGATCGCATTTTGAGATGTGACCGTTATCGCAAAAGAGAAGAAAGAGATTTTCGTACAGCCACTCGGTTTGATACAAAGCGGAAAGGTTGTGGGTGTGAGTTCAGAGTAAAGGTTCGACAACTACGGAGTCGTGACGGTTGGGAAGTGATTGGTTACTCTAAATGGGGGTATCACAACCATGAGATGATAGTATATGAAGAGGGTCATCGACAACTGAGCGGCTTAAGTCCTGCTGCGAAACTAGTTGTGAAAGAAATGAGTGATGCTCAAGTGAAGCCTGCTAAAATATTAGCATCTGTGTTAGAGAAATTTCCAGAAGACCATCCAAACCGAAGACACATCTACAACGTCAGACAACAACTCAGGTTTGAACGGTCAGAGGGAAGGAACCCTATACAGCAGCTGCTACACCAGGCACAATCACGTGGTTACCTGTTCTGGTTTGATTCTGATGAAGATACAGCGGAGGTGACTCATCTTTTCCTTGTGCATCCTGATTGTGCTGATATAATCAAGTCTTGGCCATTTGTGATTTTGATCGACTCAACGTACAAGACAAACAAGTACAAGTTCCCACTGGTTGAGATCATGGGGATGACTCCAACGAACCAGAACTTTTTGATTGGTCATGCAATCATCAAGGATGAGACGGCTCCAAGTTATTATTGGGTGTTGGAGAAGCTGAGAAACTACATCGGGCCTAATGTTCATCCAGCAGCCATCGTCAGCGACTGCGAGGGAGGTCTCTTTGCCCCCATAGCAGAGCTGTTTCCCGAATCGAACCACTTATTGTGCACATGGCACATCAACAACTGCGTGAAAGTGAAAGCCTACAACCTTTTCAACAAGAATTTGGAAATGGCAGAGAGATTGGTGAATGGTAAGTGGCGGAAGATCCTACAGGCTACCACAGAGGAAGCGTATGAGCGAGCATTGGCTAACTTCAGGGATTCGTACCAGTGGTGTCCGGCACTGGTGGACTATGTGATGCAGCAATGGGTCCCTCACAGGGAAAAGTTTGTCAAATATTGGACAAACCAGGTACTTCATTTTGGGAACACTACAACATGTAGAGTTGAGAGCGCTCATAGAGCTACTAAGGACTGGATTAATTCATCGACCGCTGCTTTGGATACACTGTTCGCTAGACTGAACAAGTCAATTGAAACTCAGAAGAACGACATCAGGAACTCTCTAGAGGACTCCAGACGACGACATGGTACGATGTATAGCCATTTTATATTTAAGATTCTCCATGGTCGTGTGTCGCACTACTGCTTGGGGTTGATTCTCACTGAGCTGAACAGGATGAGGGACTTGGCTGACGAAGTGTATGCTCGGTGTGGGTGTGCTATTTCAGTAACTCATGGATTACCTTGCGCATGCACCATTCACCGCGTTATTACAGAAGAAAGGGCGTCGTTACATGTTGATCAGGTCCATTCATTATGGAGGACGCTTGTTATTGGTGAGCATGCAGACACTCAAACGGCCGACCGTGAACAGGAGGAGTTGGAGCAGTTTCGTTCGATGTACGACCGAGTGTCCTCTAGCCATCCTTCTATTATTCGTAACGCTACTCATGTACTTCATGACATGTTCCACACGTCTACCTTAGATTATGAGGAACCCGAAGGAGTTGACCGTCCTCGAGGTCGACAACGGCGGAACAGGAGTGCGTTTGAGTATATCCGTGGTCTTGGTCGTGGTCGTGCTCGTGGTCGGACATCGTCATCTAGTCGTAGTCAATCTTCATCGTCTGTGAATATGCCCCTGAGAACTGGTACGTTTTGGTTGTTTACATTGCACATAGTTTTAAAGTGTTACTCCTGCCTTCTTAACTGTCTATAATTATATGGTGAATAGGAAGAAACGATGTTGATCAGTTTCCGTACAAGGAAAGGATACCTGCGATCATCATGCCGTACTTGGAAGGGTGGAATGATGTAGTCGGAGATGGTAACTGCGGATTTCGGGTCGTGGCTGATGTTTTTCAAATGGGCGAAGACAACTACGGTTTGGTGCGTCAGTTGATGTACAACGAAATTGCATCTAACCGAAATGTTTATCGTCATGTGTACCAAGATGACTTGGATGGCGCTCTGCGGCGTATCCGGTGGGGAGGTGGACCTTGCGGCCAAAATCATTATTTTGACGCGCCCCTAGATCTGTTTGCCGTTGCAAACATTTACAAATGCGCAGTCATGCATTTCGGCCTGGGAGTGCATAGTCAAGCTTATTATCCTTGTACCACGGTTCTCCCTTGGCGGTCGCGTGAGACTGTCACCACACCGGTCAGAGAGCTAGCTATTGCGTTTCTTGGGTCGTCATACAGACATTTCATCCGACTAGACATGTCATCCGATTTTCCAGTGCCACCGATTATACCTCGGTGGTACAACATTCGCACAGCGAGCGTACAGGGTTGGGATGCGCTATATCATGACCGGATCCACGAATGGAACACCCTAGCTGCATTTTAGTTTTTCATGTTTACATTCTTTATTTGTAATCTTATTTGTACGTTGCTCTTTTAATGAGAACATTAATCTTTTACATTGTATTGCTTACTGCATTCTATATGCTGCATGGGTAAGTTGCGCGGATCCACGAACGGTTATATCAAAATTTAAAAACAACAATGATTAAGTTGGAAGCTAAAAGAACAATCTAAAATGTTACAAACTTACAACATAATGTCCAATTTAATAAATTAAAACGATGATATTTAAAGTGCTCTATAAATAAAATGACAAAACCATCAGTAATCCCTCCTCGACGACGACTCCCACTGCGCAAGGGTCTGTTCCAGACTATCAACAACAGCTCTCCCTGTTGCACTCATGCTGTCCTTCTCAAGAGAGAGTTTCTGTACGTCCTGCATTATCTTTCCCATCCACTGCATACAACAAAAAACAGAAGATGAAATACAATAACAACATATAAAACTTAATTAAAAGACAACGATAAATATAATATAAGACATACCGCTTCCATGGCAGTAGGCGGTGGCACATAATCATCATCGCTGTGGTCGAGATCTGCGATCAACCTCGGGTGCGAAT